TATTTATTCCTGCGATAGAGGTTGGACAATGCAACGTAGTCCCACGTTCAGCCATTCGACATTATTATAGGTGTTCGTTGTTTGAATAAGAGGGGAGGAAGCAAAATTTGGAATCATCTTTTTATCTGTCTCTCTCCTCATTTTTATAGATTTTTCAATTGGATGAAACCAAGCATGTTTATGCATTGAAACCAAGAAAGGAAGAAGACGAAAAAAAAAAAAACTCATCCTCTCTCTCTCTCTCTCTCATGTTTATACATTCAAACCAAGATACTTGAAGAAAGGAAGAACACAAAATTAAAAACGATAGAGAGTTAAAGAAAGAAAGTAAGAAAGAAAGAAAGGAGAACAAGAAAAAAACAAAAAAAAAAAAGCTTCACTAGTTGGAGGCAAAATCAGCTACATTGTCGTCCATCTATACATATATGTCCCCCACGAGTAAACTTGATCTCTCTCTCTCTCTCTCTCTCTCTCTCTCTCTCTCTCTCTCTCTCTCTCTCTCTCTCTACATATAAGCCACCGCCACACCAGGAAGACTAACCATGACAGAAACAGACGGGACAACCATTATGCGACACACACAGCATAATTGTCAAGCAACCTTTTTTTTCGCGCCCCCCCCCTTACGAGGCACTGCTTTCCTCTTCTTCACGCCTGCTCTGCTGCCATCCGTCTCCGCCTGTCTGGCCTCCATCCGCCGCTGCCTCTCGTCTGCTCTTGCCCTCTCGCCCAACATACCTTCATATTTCTTCACCCAGCGGGGCTTCGACAACCTATCCACCAGCCTCATGTCCTTGACCTGGATCGTCACCCTCTTCGAGTGGATCGCGACCTCGTTGGTGTTCTCGAAATTGGCAACCAGGCATGCCTCGGCAGCCTCCATCAAAGCACGCACCGCCGTCATCTGAAACCTCACGCCCGCACCAGGAGCAATAGTCTCCTCCACAACCTCGCGCACGATCCGCAAGAATGGCCTGAAAGCCAAGCAGAGGTTGGTGGATCATTGCAACTTCATGATTTCCGCAAGAGTTGCCATCCCGGGGCGTCGACGGCGTCTGTAGGGCTGACTGCGTACATCTGCAGTGTCATCGGTGGCTGGCACGCGCTTCGGACTCTTCTTCTTTTTGCCTGCAGCCGTCTTCCCAGTTGGCGCTTTCGACGCGCACTTCTTCATCTTTCTCGGGCTCTAGGACATCGTAGCGTGACTTGGGCCGGCCGTGTCCCCCTGTGCTGCAGAGCACCCTGCGCTGCCACCAGGACCACATGCGCCCTCCACCTCAGCAGACAAACGGGAAATTTCGGAGCGCTTCTCTGTCCTCTTGCCCTTCCACGTCGATCCACCTGCCAAGTCGTTCTCCACGACAAACCGAATGTCTCGCAGGAGTCCATCTAGGTAGGTCAGATGGAAAGGCACACCAAGCGGGTCTGTGAATGTCATGGTGACGTCTCCACCATGCTCGTATGTCATGGGACATACGACTGGGACCCAGCCAAGAAGGGTTGTGCAACAGTGCCTGCGACGAATGTGAGCCATGTATATGTTCTCACCGTTGCCGTGCTCTTGCCCAGCGGAACTCCCCTCAACCATGGACCACATCCCCTGGTCTGCCATGGAGTCGTAACCCGCACACACCATCTGACGGTCCTCCTCCCTGATCTTCTCCCAACAGCGCTTTGCGTGTTCAACCAACGGCACGTGGTCCTTAACATTTACATTGAAAATTGAGACACGTGCCTGAACAACCCGCAACTGCCAATGCTCCACAATGCATGCATGCATCCATCCCAATGGGAGCCACTGCCCTGACTGCAGCTTTGATGCCATCGTCACCTTGCCATCAACCACTGCTGGATGCAAACATCCCGGGACCCAATTGACGTGATAGCCATACTTTTCAGGGGCCATATGCCGCTGCAACTGTCCCTCAGGGATGACATGGGCCCCAATGTCTGTGGCAGTCAAAACGTCACGCCTCAATGTGACATGGTCCCATATTTGCGACCATAGTCCATCATACATGGTTTCCTGCCCTCTTGCAGCTGCATCCTCACCAGAGAACAGTTTCCCGTCCACCACCTCCAACTCCATAGGGTTCCGAAGCGGTGGGAAAAACCCAGCAGTATGAGGGGGACATGTCATTGTCTTCTTCTCCTCTTCTGACACCTCCCTGTTGAGATGCCTGAAGGAGAACCTGCCATTGATATAATGCGTGTTCCAGACATTTCCCATGGCATCACGCATCTGCATCCTCACCCGGCCACATGTAATCGGGATCTCATATGGCACTAAACCCCACCTAGGATCCCTCCTTGCATCATTCTCGGGGAACACCGTTCTCGCTGCTGCATCGTTCCCACCAATCACCCATGGCGTTCCGCAATCAAAACTGTCGTACAAAAAATCGTTAAGCCTCAACTCGCCCTTCGCCTCCAGAACACGCCACATGCGCTTGTTTTGGGGACAGGAAATGGAACCCAAGTCCCAGCCACTTTGAACGCGAAGCAGGGTACTCCTCCAACAATACCCGGTTGAACACGACCAGGCACCCAATTGATGCCGTATGGGAACTGTTCTCCTGCTAATGTCTTGACCACATTTTCATCCTCAACAATACACCCTGTATGATTTTCCTTGCTCCCCATACCTCCCTTTCCTCTCTCTTCCCCAACCTTTTCCGTCTCATAAGTGCTCCCTCCAGCATCATTGTCTGATTCATCACCATCACCCATCATCTCTGCAGTCTGTGCATATATTGTTGCCAGCACGTCTGCACAGTCAGTGGTGTTCATCTTAGCCGAATTCCCTTCCTTGCTGCCATCTGCAAGACGTTCACAATGTCCTCCATCTCCATGGCGCAAGTCTCTCCAGCGTTGACAGTCGATGCAATCACGGGTTCCATCTATTGCATGAGACACCACGTACATTTATGAGAACACGTAGCTCCGCCGTGCCCCCCTCACCCCAGAGAGAGAGAGAGAGAGAGAGAGAGAGAGAGAGAGAGAGAGAGTTTACAATAGAGAGAGGTTGCTTACTGCGGGCCATAACTCCAACACACATCATATTTTTGCCAAATACAGACGAAGTAGTGAACCTCTGACAGAGAGACATGCATAGATACAGCAACAGCACGAGGTTCACTACTGCGGGCCAGAACGACAACAAACAGCACCGGTTAACACTTACATGGCACGCAGTAGTGAACCTTCCGTAGTTGGGAAACTACAGCGTGCTACCACCGCGAGGTTCACTACTGCGGGCCATAACTCCAACAAACATCACTTGAGAGACCGAAATTGGCTGGTAGTAGTGAACTTCATGCTGTCGGACAGGCTGTGATGCATCGACAGAGGGCGGTTCACTACTGCGGGCCACAACGACAACAAACAGCACCGGTTAACACTTACATGGCACGCAGTAGTGAACCTTCCCTGGTAGGGAAACTACAGTGCGCTACCACTGCGAGGTTCACTACTACGGGCATAAATTCAACAAACATCAGTTGAGAGACCGAAATTAGCCGGTAGTAGTTAACCTCATGCTGTCGAACAGGTCGTGATGCATCGAGAGAGGGCGGTTCACTACTGCGGGCCACAACGACAACAAACAGCACCGGTTAACACGTACATGGCATTCGGTAGTGAACCTTCCGTAGTTGGGAAACTACAGTGTGCTACCACCGCGAGGTTCACTACTGCGGGCCATAACTCCAACAAACATGACATGAGAGATGAAAACTGGCTGGCAGTAGTGAACCTTGTGGTGTCGGACAGGCAGTGATGCAGCGACAGAGGGCGGTTCACCACTGCGGACTAGAACGACAACAAACAGCACCGGTTAACACTCACATGGCACGCAGTAGTGAACCTTTCGTAGTTGGGAAACTACAGCATGCTACCACCGCGAGGTTCAGTACTGCGGGCCATAACTCCAACAAACATCAGAGAGAGAAAAAAAAAAAATAAAAAAAAATCACGCGTCCCTGACCACCCGCGCTGCCACAATTTGACATCTAGTGTAGAGAGTTTTTAAGCGGTCGTGGATGTGTAGTCCTTTCCTGCAATGCTCACATTTCTAATTCCCTCCATGCTGGCCTGCGTTCGTAAAGACCGGTGCCATAATCTCTTTGATGTATGATATGAGATGGGACATACAGTCTGCAACCAGCCTCGTCATTTGTCGATAATTCGCATTTGCAACAAACTTTTCGAATGCGTCCGTCGTCACTGGCAGCACAACAGATTCTGCATCGGCAGAAGGTGCTCTGCTGGCAACGACACAAGGGAAGTTGTGACGAACCTGGTGACAGTTCAGTGCTGCAACATCGGTGCATACGAGCAGGGGATGCGGCGCAGGCGCAAGTTCCACGACACTGGTCCCGATCCCTCTGGACGTTTGCATTGTTGTGTCGAGTTCTTCACTCGCCTTCGACCTTTTACCTTCTGCACTTTCCATGACAACTTCATTCACACATGTCACCGTCAGTTCTCTACCCAACAACCTACCTCGAGTGTGTTGCAGGGCATCCATGACGTCCGCGCAACTTCTCAACAGAGACGCCATATTGCTAGGAAGGTCATCCTTAACAGACGTTACACCCTCGTCACAAAGACCGTATTCTTCCACGGTTTCCACACAGTGCCGAATACAGTCTTCTGCGAAGGCCAAGAGGTCAACGACACTGCGTCCCGAAGAAGATAGCGAACCTGTAGTATACGCTTGGCTATCGTAGGATGCCCACCCCTCCTTCAGCACACACTTGCCAGGGCTGACACAAAACGTGATATTCCGTCGTTGTGATTCCCCCTGAGTTCTCTCTGTGACATGGGTTGCGAACCGATTCAAGACCGCAGTGCGCCTGCGCCTTTCAATATCCAACCATGTCTGGAACTCATCAAACGTGGTGGTCTTTGTTTCAGCTATTGCCTTCAGTCTGGCAGACATGTCCTCCTTCAAACGAGTTATGTCTAAACATTTCGGATCGTCCAGTAACAACCAGAACACGGTGAACATCCAGTGTTCCGCAGTTTCTGTCATTTCGCCGAGCAGTGACTTAACACGGCCTAGTTCGTCCGAGAACTCTCTCACCAATTGTTTCTGCTTATCCACCTCCTCTCTTAGCCTGTCTATATGTTCTCACTGTTTGTCTACTATACGACCCTTGTTGGGTTCCATGTCAGTCGTCTTATCTTCTTTGGCCCCCGGTAGTAGAAAGTCATCCACCGTTGCATGACACTCTTCGCCCGACTTTCTCTTCTGTCCGATTTTTGCCACTCTTGACATCTGGAAACGGTTTTATATACAGAGAAATACGTGTGGAGAGAGAGAGAGAGAGAGAGAGAGAGAGAGAGAGAGAGAGAGAGA